ACTGTGGACAGTAAAACAACTCCAGCCCCAATGGGCCTCAATCACTTCAAGTGTGATATGACCCAAAATGAGTTGAGCCCAACAACAACAGATCTCTGTCGACAAAAGCAAACAAAATTGCAAAACCAGAAGATCGGAAGTACGGAGGAGAAGACGCTCCTCCATGGTCAAGGCCAGCTCGCATAATCCTTATCCAATAACTCACCAAAGGGATAAGGATGCCTCTCCTCTAGTCTCGACTATTCTAGAGTGTTCTACTAAAGTGTCTATATAAGCATTTGTAAATCTCATTGTGTAAATGTTAAGGAAAAAAAATTATCTTTCTCAAATCCTAACATAATCGAGGAGACTTGATGCCAGAGATTGTGTTGCGTGGTTTCCGAGACAATTAATGGAAAGAGAAACTGAGCGAAGTTTGTCGAAAAATTCGAGAAGAATCGATCGAGAATATGTGAAAGTAATCGACTGGAAAGAATTTGACCATGAGCTCACTCAGTTATGGAGTCTTTCTTCTGCTCTTAAATTAGCCACAGAGAAGAAGCTTACCCTCCAGCCCAAACTGGGGCTTATTCAGGTTTTTCTCTTACTAATGTGTTTTCTCTTGGGATGTCTGGTTTTTTTATTAGTTTCACAGTGTAAAGTTTAAATTTTTATTAGTGGGTATTGTCTCAAGAAATGTAGATGAAGCTAGCTAGAAACTCATTCAAAGAAATTGAATGTGTCTTGGGGACAAATAATGTTCATTGTGTTGTTGCACTAGTTTGCATTTGAGACTTTCACCATAACTTTGGACTAAGAGTTGATTATCTCTTACTTTAACTATTCAATGAGCTTTAATTGATTAGCCCACAGATAAGCGGACCGCCAGGTTAGTAGAATTATTGAAACGCACGAATGAACTCGAGGAAATGCGTCAGAGGTTGGAAGCAAGAAAATTGGTGGTGGAAAAGACATCAATTTGTTGCAAGGTTAATGAGCAGGATGTTAAAAAGAAAGAGAAGATTCTTAGTACCGAAGTGAGATCACTGAGATCTTTGATGCAATTTCTGGGAATCCAAAATTTTTTGATCTTTTCTAAAAGCAGAAGAGAAAAATTATATAGAGAAAGGACGAGGAGGACTCTCTTGTAATAGTCTGTTCTGTCACACTTTACTTCTTTGGACTCTGGCCAAGGAAAAATGAATTAAAAGGATGTACTTACAAAAATTATAATAATTGAATATGGAATCTTTAAGGATGAAGAAAAGTAGACTATAATCATACAAAAGATAAACAAAATAAGTTTGTACAAGAGTCGTATTTCAATCTTCTACAAATATCAGAGATCCGAAATTGTTTAAACATGAAGGACGATTTTATTTTTATTTTTGCTAAATGTAATAATGGCTTAATCATCATTTAACACATTGTTTAGCCTACATTTTTAATTTGAAAGGATTTGGCCTATTTTGTAATTTGTGTATAAAAATTGTTCTATTTCTTTAATTCTCTCTAAAAAAAATTGATTGAGTTCAAATATTATATTTGAGATGTAGGCAACAATATTAGTTTAACTCTGAATCGGGTAAACGGAAATAAAAATTGTATGGAAATGAATAAACGATGCTTTAGAAAAATTTAGAAAGAA